CCGCTTGTAATTGTCCTTGTTGAGCTTGCGCAAGCTGTGCTTGTCTAAGAGCAAGCAATTGCGCTAATTGCAACTGGTAAACAGTATTCGGTTGATATGCATGCAAATATGATTGTTGTGGCTGCTGCAATTGCTGCATGTATGCTAATGCAGTAGCGGGATCTGTAACGGTTTGATAAGCTAATGGCCCGGTTGCAGATGCTGCAAAAATCTGTTGTTGCGGAACCGCACCATTCGCGATAGAACCAAATGGATAATATCCTATAATTAAAAAATTTCTGTCAACCCGTCGCAAATTTATTCAAAAATTAATTTTTCGTTTATTTTTTCCATCTTCGATTTGTATAGAATTTAATATGTAAAAATTATATATATCTTTAGTATACCTTTTGTACAAAGTTATATTATCATCGTAATAAAAAAAGAATTGGATATAGTATTTTTTAAACACGAACCTAAGCCAGGATTTCTGTAGGCGAAGGCATGCGCTAAACTTGGCAAAACTTTTTGCGCTAACTGAGGATTGCTGATGCTAGATGCGAAAGATTGATGAGAGCTCGGCCCGTTGAATGCGAACGACGTTTGCGTTAATCCCGGTCGGATAAAACTGAAAGAGGTATGTTGTTCGGAACTTCCTATTACGTTCGGCTTTACAGCTTGAACGGGTGGCTCAGCTATGACGAGGTAACACAATGCACTGACAACAATCGCGTGTTTCTGCAAATTATAATTTTGTAAGATCAATCGAGATAATAATGACATGAGGATAAATATGGTATTTAAATATTCTTTAACATTGAATGTGTAATAGCCAATTATAAAATCTTAAAAAAAGGGTAGCTTGTGTAACAGAAGAAAGAGAGAGAGAGAGAGAGAGAGAGAGAGAGAGAGCGCTGACACTCCTATCAATTATCATTTTAAAAATGTCATATATTTTTCATTTAATTAATGTACATATATATTTTTTCCCCTAATATGTCACAATTATTCTCATTGATTCGAATTGATAAAAGTAGCAACACTTTATAAAATATTAAAAACTGACTATAAAATTATTATACAACCTCTCTTGTAAAAATTATGAAGCGCATGTAAAGCTAATATATTTGATTTACGATACAAAACAATATACTCTTAAATTTTCTTTACATCATAATCTGCTATTCGTTACTCACCAACATTATGAAAAACTATACAAATTATCTCTTAATGTGATATTCGTATAATAGAAGCACAGTATTATCGTCGGCGAGAATCACGATGGTATTACGATGCCAAGAAATTCTGTGGGGAGCTATATACCACGGAAGCAATTGGCATGAAACGTGAGTAGCATCCGATCGACATCATTGTAGCAGATACTTTCTCCAGGATACCGATATTAAACAATTCGTGAATCGCAATCAGATGACAAATAACAGTTTTCTTAAAATATGATAGACAAAAATCATGGAACGATAAAAGCTTTATATAACAGAAAACTAATTGTTTTTACGCTATATAAGTGGAAACCGGAATTTCAAGTTCGAAAACTATTTTCATCGAGATTAAGATCATTGATAATGGAGAAAGTTGCTTTCAAAATGCTTAACACGACAACAATGTAGCCGCACGATGAGTATTAATTGCAATCAAGTAGACGATAGTGTTAAGTATTTCACTGGTAACGGTTTTATTTCTCTCTATTACATGAAATTCGTGAAATAGAATCATTACAGTGATTGTTTGTACTACAAAAAAACATGAACATTACTAATTTAACACTGTTTTACCTGTATACCGTATAAATAGCATGTTAATATACTAATAACATTTTTAATACGAGCGAGATTTTAAGTTTCAAGTCCTTATTTATAATACAACTGCGATATTATATTTATTGCCATATATGTATTACAAAATCTTACATTATACATCATAGCTGTCATCCTAATTATTTGACCATAGGCATATGTTAAAATTGGTAGTCTGAAAATATATATTTGAATGGACAATGCTATGATTCTAATAAATGACTGATTTGTGAAATAATGGAGATTTGTGTGATGTCTGGATTTTCTCCTAGATCTCTTCATATGCTGGAGAAATACGATTGATAAAACATGCCCATAGCGCTAGTCGCAAATAACGCAAAACAACTCCACCATGTTGCCAATCCTAAGATACCTCTGTAAACATCTGTGGTAAAGATCTGTAACAAAAAAGATATATTCTTTTATATTAGTCGCTTTCCATTTACATCACGTAGCATACATGCGAGTGAGAGAGAACGCAAGTGAGAATTATCTGAGTTTTGATGTAAATGGAAAGCAACAATTATAAAACATCGCAGATTTAATATTATCACATTTTTTATAAACATTATATCATTAATATTTTTCTCAAATATAGAGATATATCACCTGCTTCAATGAACTTAATGCAAGTTGAAGTTCTTCAGCAGTTTGTACAACAGTCTTATCAGTATTATCATTGCTAATTGTAGACAAATGTAATTTCGGTAATTCGTCCGCTGGACACTCTTCCTCTAGCGTCCCTTTTAAGATACCTTCCCAAGTAAAACCACCTAATTCAACAAGAAATACAGGGGCATTATTGCATGTTGTATATTTCATAAAAAACATTTTTCTTACCGAGCGTTTTGTACAGAAATGTAAAAAATAAACACATAATTATTGGAACAATAAATTGTAGCGCAACTACACATAGATAATAATATACAGCTGCAATCTGTAATATATAAAATAAAACTCGTTTTTTATTAGATATTTATAGGAGAGAAAACTCTCTTTTTTAATATAATTACTATTTTTATTATATGACATTGTAAATTATACAACCATTATGATATACCTTTTTCTGTAAGTCAACATTAGTTATTCTACCAGCCTCTTTTTTCTGAATTTCTAATCTTTGAATTGCAAGATTTAAGTAAGATTGCAAATATATTGGCATTAGTACAATCTTTAATAAAACAGCAACGACGATAATAATCAATCTCATACTGTCAAAACTTGCAGCTGTCATTCTATAATAAAAAATCTTTAATTAATTTTTATATTTATCTAACTTGATTTAGATATATAATATATGTTGACTTACAGTGGACTAGTCATACCATTAAATATTCGAACAGTCAAATAATCCCTGCTGATAGGTGTAATCCATAAGCTCACCAGTAGTAATGGTGAGACATAGCTGATATTCGCTATTAACAATAATAATTTGTAGTCTTTATAATACCTGCAATTATTTTCATATATAATATATAATCAGCATTCAATATTGATTGAACTGAATAAAGTTTATTGTAACCTCAATGTATCCCAATGCATCTTTGATACCCTTAATCCTGGGAAAGTGTATAACGATCCCAATAGACCACACCATATGGCAAGGAAGAACTTTACAACTATTTTTGAAGCTGGCCCCCTATATTAAATATAAGTCCTCCATATTTATTAAATAACATTATAAAAAAAAAGATCAAATAATTATTAATAAGGTTAAAAATAATTATTATATAATTTCCAACATCTATTCTTATTAAATAAGTTAATAAGTAAAAGCTAGTGTTATATTAAACTATATGTACATTATTTTATACTGTATTAAACTTTTAATTATGTTATTTACTGTTAGTAAATACATGTGTAATTACATGAAAAATAAAAATCTGTTACTAGAGTATCCTCTCATTAAGAATATTCTGTTTATTATACAAGTAACCAATAAAGATCCAATAAAATCATTAGTAATGATGAATTATGTAATCAACTCACGTGGAAGAAAGTCCTTGAGTATCTAAAAATCGAGAAGCGCTATGATTGAAACTTGTATATGCCTTTTCCAAGCCAATTTCCAATTTATTTTCATCAACTATAAGCACCATCATAGCAATGAGAAGGTACGCAAATCCAGTAACAATACATGTAGATCTTTCACCTACACTTTCCTCTCCTTTGAAATATTGTACCCAGAGGGAAAGTAGCACTTTACTATAAATTATATAAGGAAAGCAAAGCTACACATTTTCTGTCTCCTATAATTTTTTATCTTAAATATGAAACATTTAAGATTCTCTAATAGTGATTTTAATCCAAAGGATACAATGCAAAACCCAGAACTACCAAACACCACAGTACACTGAGATTAATCTCATCTTTGATTGGATATAAGTAATTATATGCCTGTAAACAATAAAAAAAAGAATGTAGATAATATTACAAAATATACACTATATGAGTTATAAATATAACATTAATTAATAAACTAATTATATAGAAAAAGATATATTCATATCACACACACACACACACATATATAGGTATCCAAGTATTAGATGAGCTGTGATTAATAAGCACACTAACCTCTGTCAGTATATAAACAATAGAAGCATATAGAGAGAAATCCAGCAGCCATTGATATTCCATATAATATTTTAAGTGCACAATATCAAGCGCTGTCACTTTTGCACTTTCAAGCTGAATATCTAGATTTCTAGGAATATGAAACACATCTCCCACTTTGCCATTTTCACTGTGTTTTCCTCTCTTTGGTTTCTCCTTCGGCACGCCAGCCAATGTTCTAAGTTGTTGATCTGTCGGATACAGATATCGTATCAATCTGTGCAAATGAAAAAAAGTAATGATAGATTTTAGTACATTACTAAAAAATCTGTCCACAACTTGTTTTTTGTAAGTATCCAAATGCATGCAAATACATACCCAGTAGAACACAAGATCCATCTTGCGAAAGAAAAATGTAGACTTAATTTTTGTATAACACTGACCATTACAAGAGTGATGACTAATTGTGCTCCTAACAAAGCCTGAAAGAAATATATAGGTCATATATGTATAACACTCTGTCATCATATAGAGAGTAAGTAAAAAACAAACATGACAAAGAGCATAACTTTAAGAAATACATAAAATATACTGTAAATGAATTAATTTTTTAAGGTTACCATGTTCAATTAGACGTTCTGGCTGTTGTCAAATTCTCACGAACAAGACTGCTCCATTTGAGAAAGAATGTTTCGAAAATTTTAACAGATTCTAAAAGAGACAATGACCAAATATATCCGATTTGCCACGAGTAATGTTTGCTCTACCATCTTAAAGGGCATGCTCCGTCCGCGAGCTGGTTTTATAAATAGTTATAGTCTGGCGACTACATAATACCGAACGAATGCATCAAATTGCCTCGCATGCGGATGCGAGGTTATTTCCAGTTATCGTCGGTCTATAGCCAGTAGCCAGTAGTAATGCCAGAATGGAGCCTACTCTAGCAACACGCAGCTGTAGTAGAGGGGATAACGCACACAAGCAAAAATCGCGTATATATGAGCTCGATGTTTCGGCTAACTTCGGATAGCAGAAAAGGACAGATGATATACTATTGGAATCTGACAGACACCCCAAATAGATTTTTTTACTTGTTTATTGGGATATGACAGACTCCAACTAGATATTTTAAATTTTACTTGGGATCTGTCAGATCGCAAGTAGATTTTTTATTTGAAGTATGACAGACCCTAAGCAGATTGTACCTCTGCAGCGAAGAACACAGAACATATATAATATGTCATATACGATATCTATATATAATATCTAAGAATATCAAAAAATTAAACACGATATATTACCATGTACTGATATCACGCATATATAATATAAATTGAACGAAATTTTTTATTTAAACTAGAATATTTTATAAAACGTTAATTAAAAATTATTTTTCTAATTATTTTTGAATGCATGCAGAAATATGTTAATTTGTTATTATATACAGTTATTATATATAGTTATAATATCTAATATATATAATATAAAATAATTTCTACGTCACAAAATTACATAATTACACAAATAAGGATAAATGTTTTGCAACGTGATATATACATATTTATGTCGCGGCTGATCTTTCCTGTATAATTACCGCGCTCTGCCCACAGGTACATATACAGGGTGAGTCATTTTAATCAACGCACGCAAATATCTCGTAAAGTAAGCAAGATGGAAAAAAATGTTTTATACAAAAGTTGTAGGGTTCAGAGGGCGACACATGATGAAAATATGGACTTGACCTTGAGTGACCTTTTCAAGGCCAAGTCAATGTGATCGATATTTTCTTAAATGGAACCCCCCATTTTTTATTGAATATTCTTGTAGTGGCAATTA